CCAAGCCGTGTGTTTGGCGTTTAGGTCGCCCATTAAAAGGGTGGGACTCCTCCCGTCCAGTACGTTCCGGACATCGGAGGGGCAGAATTCGTTACCAGGGGGGCGATAGGCGGCGTATATCCTCAATTCCGCGCCGTCGATGTTGATGCTTACTCCTATGGAGCGCATGACGCGGAATTCGGGGTGCTCCAATTCACAGTGCACGACGTCGCGGCGGACTAGTATTGCCGTTCCGCGGTATACTCTACCGGCCGGCGACCGCTCGTCGCGCCTATACGTGTAGTAATTGGGCACCCGGAACGTCTCCTTGGGAGACAACAGAGTCTCACCCAGGAGTATGATGTGTACATCCTGGGTGTGAGCAAGGAGACGGAGGTCTTGTGCCTTATCGCGTATCCCCCCGGGGTTCCAGTACACGACGCGGAGGGAGTTACTCCGCGACTCTGTACTGGCTAATAGTGGCCAATCCGGCGAGTGCCGCCGACTTGATGTCCTGTCCGGCCGCTAAGGCCGTGAGGAGGTCTGTAAGGAGCCCTATGATGAGCGTTAGGGCTCCATTATCTGCCGAGGCAGGGTGAACGCGCGTCTGTTGCGGCTGGGTGGTCGTCTGGGCCGACCGCCGCATAGGTTTGTGAGAATAGCGTGGGGCGGTGCCTAAAGGCGGCCACGCCCCCACCTGTTGCTCGCCCATAGCGACGGGCGCCATCTGGCGGCGAGCGGACGGGACTGCTGTCGGTAATGCAGTCCCTTGTGCCGGCAAACGAGACGGCTGGGTTGGGGGGGGAATTATACCCCGTTGTGAATTCACGACCCGAGAGCGTGATTGCGTCGCCCGGTCGACCTCCTCAAAAGGCGTAGATGTGACCGCCTGTTGCAGGCGGTTTCGTCGCCTTCGGCCGGCCCTGTTGCGCCGGCGGCGCTTAGGTTCTACGCCTCGGGTCGTGGGTGGGTTCGCCGGGGCCATAAGTGTGCCCCGGGCCGACGAGGTCGGTGGGACCGCTGTCACCGGGACCGGTGCAAGCGGTACAAATGTGCGTTGCGTGGGGGGTGCGCGCATAGGGAGTTGCGCGCGTGATTGCGCCGGCCGAGCGGGCGCACCCGCGCGCCTGTTAACGCCCGTGTTGGACGTCGGAGCTGTGGGGGCGGCAGGACGGGTTTGTATCCCCCTGCGGCGTGCCTCTCTCTTATACACCGCACACCGTCTATCGTTGGCGGTGTGCGGTTTGGCGCAGTTAGCGCAAGTGGGTTTGTGGTCGCGCGGCCGGTCGCAGTCGGCGGCCGCGTGTTCACCGGCGCACCGGACACATTTTATTGGTCGGTGACAATTGGCCGACGAATGGCCGAATCCCTGGCACCTGTGGCATTGAGCCAGGGAGGAAGTTGAGGGCCGCCAGCCCTCGATTGTAATACCACGCATGAATAAAAGTTCATGCGTGGCGTATAGACGGTCCAGCTCGTCCTTGCTCAAGGGATCGAGCTGGGCGTGGAAGACGCAGCCTGGGCGGCCGCGGCGAGCTGGGATACCCCGCACCAGTCTGACGGGGTAGCCCAGTTTGTCTAGGGCGTCGGCGACGGCGTCCGACGGCGTGTCGGACGGGAGCCCTCTTATCGCCACTTTGTGGGGCAATTCGGAGGCCAGGCTGTAACAGAACCAGCTGATCGCTGGGTCGGTAGCACTGGCCTCAGATAAATACTTTTGAACAAGACGGAACTCTTTGTCCGTCTTGCTAAGAAAACGCACGCCCTGTCCGAACGGGCGCGCGTTGGGCGGCTCACCCAGAGCGTGAGTGAGGGCGGCGAAGTGTTGTGTCCACCGCGGCAGACATTCGACTACGATGGGTGGGTATTTACCCTGCCCAGGCTGTCTTTTTGCCGCTCCCGACGATGTAGGTGCGGGAGGGGTTGGGGGGCGCGGCGCAGGAGCGGCCGCGGCCGCATCCGCGAACGATTTGGTGGGGGATAATGTCCCCACGGAACGAACCTGTACGTCGACACTTTCAAGTGCGACGTACGAAGTTTCGTCATCCCTGTTGGGATGCCCCAAGGCGCCGATGGCGTCAAAGTCCATGACGCGCTCGTCCTCGCTGTCCATAGAAGGGGCAGGCGAGGGCGAGCGGGGGGGTGTGGCGCGCCGTGAATGCGGGCGCGCCTCGCACGGCGCGTTCACCGAGCGAGACGCACGGTCCGCGTAGCGCGGTGTGGGAGCGAGACGGGGCGACGGTGGTGTCTCGCCGGCGTCTAACCGCTTCTCGGAAGGAATTTCCGAGAGAGCGGGGGATGGCGGTGTGCGGCGTTTAGCGGCCGTAGACGGCGTGGCGCCTGTACTGTCGCCGCTCGGTTCGGTGCGTTCTCCTTCCGCAGCAATAATGTTGCGGTTGGCGAGCGCAATCCTAGCCTCGCGGCGGGTGTAAAACGGTCCCAGCTCTGTCTCTGGGACCGGTCGGCTGATTGTCGGGTCCGCGAGGTCCCGACAAACCACCTGCCTCGGCACTGCTTGCCG